CCTGCCATACCTAATAATGAAGTTATCAACCTTGATAGTGACTTCAGCGAAGATGATACAGTGATTGAAAAAGTTGAACCTTTGAAGACACCACGTTCTGATATCTCTACAAGATCGGTGGGAAAATCTGAAAGTGAAGCACCAGTGATTAGACATGTCAAGGTTACGAAGAAAGATTTGGGTGATGCAAGTCCAATAATGAGTCCAGGTGCATTTCCGAAAACAAAGACTTCCTCGGAGTCCTCTCCAAAATTACCAACACACTCTGAGCCAACACACTCTCAGCCAACACACTCTAAGCCAGCGCACTCGTCATTTTCGAATTCTAAGCGGGAGCTAGACCAGACTGCAGTATCGTCTCCAAGCTTATCAGAATATCCTACAACACCGTTACCAGGGACACTGTCTAGTTTCCCATCAAGACACGATGATGATGGTGATGATGTTGTTATTGAAGCGAAGAACTCAACACCAGTGACATCCTCAACTCCTCTGGTACCAAAGCACAGACCATCACCATCCTCAGTACCGACATCAATGTCATCACCGGCACCGGTGTCAACATCAGCGTCAACGCCAGCACCAGCAGTAGCACAAGTGCCAAAGTCACTGTCAACTTCATCTGCGTCTGCGACACATCATGAGAACCAGCATCAATTCGACGAGGACAACTTTGACGTTGATGAGTTTGACATTGATAATCCGGATAACACACTTTCTGAGTTGTTGCTATATCTGGAGCATCAAACCGTAAAGGTTATATCAACAATCCAAGCGTTATTGAGTGCTATAAAGCTTGCTGATTCCACAAAGGGTGAATTGAGAAACGATTCCAAGGCCATCAACGACGTCATTTCACAAATGGTCCAAGCGTCTAGCACGGCGATGAATCAGAGTCGTAATGCACAGTTGAAAGAGCATGGTGGATGGGTTGTTGACAGTTTAAGCGACTGCGGCCGTCGTATGAATCTGATGTGTACATCAACTGGGGAGGGAGATGAAGATGACGACTATGCCGATAAGAGTTTCAAGCAGAGATTGGCGGGCATTGCATTCGACGTTGCCAAATGTACAAAAGAGTTGGTGAAGAGTGTCGAGGAGGCCAATCTGAAGGAGGAAATCGAACATTTGAATGCAAGACTTGGATGATATGGAGAATGTCTTAGCTCCCACAAAGTACGTGCTATATATAGAGAACAATTTCGTGATTTACAAGCTGATATAATTTTGTCTTTTCCATCACCCTTTCCCTGTAAATTAATACACCAATACTAATCTATAGACGTATTGTGAGGACACAAAAAAGTCCTAGTCTTTTCTGAAAGGACCCAGCGAGGAACCTACCGCCCGCCCCGCCTCCCCAAATACTAGTCCCTCCAAAAGACTAGTCCCTCCGAAGCAACCTCACCTAGGACAATGGCGGCGTGTGTCCCCCGGCTGAACCAGTCACCGATAGTCACATCGTCCTATAAAATTCCCCGCATTGATTACCCTTTTTCGTTTAAGCGAACGGTTAAATAACGTAATCCATTACGTAATCTCCACATACAACCCGCGTTGTGGGGGTACTTCGTGATAGCTCTCTCATTCCCCTTTAGTCCTCGTATTTTTTGGAGGGGGGGGGACCTTTTGTTGATGATTGACGTTGAGTATGTGCTTGTTGATTTTGTTGGTTCTTTCGGTTCTCTCGTGAGTTTCTAACTGAAAGTGAGAGAGAGAGAGCGAAAGAAAGAAAAGGAAACAAACCGCAGTTTCGTCAACACTGGCTTATTGAAATCTAAAGCCAGATTGTGAATTGTTGTTTGAAAACCTCCCCATTCCTCGTACTCAGAGCGCATAAACACTGTGTGTATTTTGCCCTTGCTGTTGTTGTTGCGGTTGCTGTTGCTGTTGCTGTTTGTTATCGTCCAACGGCGCTTACACTCGAAACCAACTTGCCTCCGTATCGATTCATCCCGTCCGCGCTGAATACTCTATAAAGCAGGACGCTTTGCCTCACATTCGATTCCAGCACTCTGGACTAACAGCGCGCCTTCGACCAAACCACTGCCCATACAAGCTGACTGTGTGTTACCGCTGTGTGAGACTTTACTTCCTTGTTGATAGTTGCTCCATCGTTTCATCCGCCGCCGCCCATACCCTCTGTTGTGTTGATCTTTTGTTGATCCTTGTTGATCTTTGCTGTGCTGTGCCGCCCTGCCTGATTGTTGTTTCTGAATCTCCGTGGCTGCTTATAAAACGGAAAGGCCTAGCACAGAAGACATTTGTGCGTGCACATTTGATGATTCACAGCGAGGTGTGTGCCATTTGAAGCAATTGAAGAACCCCCTCCCACCGTCCGCGGGAAAAGAGACACTTATACACGATATACAATGGATGGTACTCATCAGAACGCTGCACCGCCTGGACCACAGCACAATGGTGAGCACAATAGCATCGCTCCGGTACCGGACCATATGACCTGTAACGGTACCACGCCTTCTGGCAGACCCCGTTTGTTTGCGTGCGAGGTGTGCAAGCGAGCATTTGCACGCTCAGAGCACTTGAAACGTCATGAACGCTCACATACCAAGGAGAAGCCGTTTGTCTGTGGTGTTTGTCAGAGGAGATTCTCCAGAAGAGACTTGTTGTTGAGACATGCTCAGAAGCTGCACGCTGGATGTGACGATGCCATCAAGAGAATGCGTAAGAGGTCGAAAAGGGCAAAGAAGAATGATGGGGAAGACGAAGGAGACAGCGCCGGTGTTCCATCGTCTCAAGGAGACTCTAAGAGAAAGAAACCAAACAGCGAGCAACAATTGCCTAGTACTGGTAACCTTCTGGCTGGCGATTTCAATTTCTTCTTTGCAACGAATAACGATATTCACGGTACGCAGTACGGTACGCAGTACAGTTCGATGATGAACTTTGACGTGGTTCCAAGAGTTAGACACTCCTCTTTTAGTGCAGCCTCTGGTAATAACTATGCAAACGCATCTGTTGGTCAGCAGAATGCTGTTGAATTTGCTACGCCACAGCTTGCACCTGTGGATTTGATGTTGAACAATCAAGTTAACGCATCGTCAGCAAATGACTCTAACAACCAATCCCAGAATTTTGCACAAAACTCTTGTATGGATACAAATTCACACCTGATGAATTCATTGGGTTTGAATAACCAATGGTTGGATCCATTACCAAGCCTGCAAAATCTACCAAGTTTGCAGTTTATCAACAACTTCTCCTTGAATGATTCCTCGACTAGTACAGGCCCACTATCATCAGCGATTAGTTCTACTACAAAGACAAACAAAAAGGCAAATACAAGTGCTGCTAATCCTCAAGAGACACTCAAGGCTTCGCAATCAACAAGTTCTGCAAAATCAGTTGGCTTATCTAGCTCAAATCCTCAAAAGAAAAAACCGTCGGACTCGAATGACGTTTTTGGATACTCATTCTATGACGATGACTATGTCCTGGGAAGTCAGATGGAGGATTTCCATTCGATAAAACTTTCCTACCCAAAATTACCATCGACGTATCTCCAAGAGACTGCATCCTCTCCTTCAACGGTACACAATGCTCAATCATCACATAATACGAATACTAATGATTATATCCTTCTTTCGGATCTTGAAGTTCCAAATCAGGCTGAGAAGATCCTCTCTGTGGGATACTCTTTCTACGAAAATAACGATTCTACAGCAGGGAACTCAAACGGTCTGGGCTGGAGAAACCCATCACCTTCTGTCTCCGATAGTCCACCAGTTAAGGAGACTCAAACTCAACCACTGGTGTCGAGAAGCTTACCAAGTATGTCATTGACGGATTTGTTCACCAATTCAACCATTGATCGCATCAACAAAGTTATGAAGAGATACCCATTTGCTGGCTTGCCACAGCCACAACTTCCTACGGTGGAGTATTTGAACCACTACGTTGATAACTTTAGAGAATTGTTCTTGTCGCACTATCCGTTTATTCACAGAAACTTGCTCAACGAGGAGTCGATGTACAAGCATACTTTGAATCCTGAAACTCCAAAGGATTATGCTCCAACCATTTGCTTACCTTTGTTGATAGCTACTATTGGAGCTTTGTATACGAATCAGAAACAACATGCAGCAGATCTGTACGAATATTCAAGACGCTGCATCCATGTTTATCTCGATTCAAGAAAGAAGAACGATGAGGCTGAAAAGAATACAACCCATAATTCTCCTCTTTGGCTTGTACAATCTCTAGTTTTGAGTGTTCTATATGGATTGTTTGGTGAGTACGATGAATCTGACTTGAGCATTATATTGAGACAAGTGAATGCATTGTGTACTTTGGTTAAGGTTTCAAGATTTAACCTGTGTCAGTTCAACCATGAGAATATCGAAATCAATGAGGAGTATTTTGAGGACTATATAACATACCAGTCTAAAGTGAGAACGGTGTATATGATCTTCAACATCTCATCCATGCTCTCGTGTCTTTATAACGTGGATCGGTTTATCGGTTATAAGGAGATTAAGTGTGACTTACCGGATCTGGAAAGCTACTGGAACTGTTCCAACTTACGAGAGTTCAAAAAGGTTTGCATTGAGTGTAACTTGAACTACAGCTTAAACTCAGAAAAGATATTGAACGATATGGTTTTTAACAACCAAATCAACTACAAAGTTTCAGAGTTCGGGTCCATTATCATTATGAATATCTTGTTACAATATTTCTTCACCAACAGAGATAATGCACTGTCTAATTATTCCATTGGTATCTCCCCGGATCATATGAATGCCTCAAACTTGGTCAAGAACTACTTGTGGGAAGATATGGTTACTGATGTGTACTCACAGATGAACATGGAGTCTGTTGTTCTTCGTAACGTTGCTGTGATTCGATCTATGATGATTGACTTGTCACCAATGAAAGAGGCACTATGGTCACGTTCTTGGGATAAGGTTTCATCGGAATTTCTATCTCTAAGCCCTAAGACTGACGATTTGATTGACGCATGTGATTACAGTGTTAGAACTTTGAGTATGATGTTCATCAACGATGTTGAATCAAGCAATTTCAAGAAATGTGTGTCATTGAGTTTGCAATGGCTGTTTTTCAACTTCTTCTACATTGCCAAGTTCTTGCACAAGTTTGAACGATTGATCTTGAAACAAGTGTTAACTGGAGGACATATCAAACCACATGAAGCTAGGCTAATGCCTAAATTCTTTTCTATTTATTTGAAGATTGCAAAGTTTTTGGCTGATCTTGAGCAATTACTTACACGCAACTTTGAATATCACGATCCAACGTCTCAACTCGCATTGAAGCAATTTGACGCTTCGAAGATTACATTTGGATATCAAAGACTTGTGGAGGCCCACTATCCGAAGGATGTCAATATGGATAACGTTGTGAAGATTGTTTCGCTACGCCTGTCGCAGAATGTTTTAAGGATTGGTGAGTTCGTCATGTATTATATATATAAGCATGAAGCAAACTTCAACATCTTTAAAGCTCAAAGTGAAGGCTTGCGTCATCTTCGAGTATTTGTTGAAAAGGATCTTGCTTGAAAAACTATTATTTATTTATTGTTGATGTTATGCTCTTTGACGAATTAATTTATGACTAACAAAAGTACTATTCATCCATGTACATTCCCATCATATGCTTAGCACCCTTGATTCCCATGGATAGCCACTTATTATACACTGAACTAGCCATTCCCAATCAACATGCTGTACATTGATGGTGGGTTGTGAAGACCTTCTCTTTGCTTCAAAAGATTTGATACTCTTGGGTATTCTTGCCATAGATTTAGCGTAGAGGTAAACGTACTCTTCATCACAGCACTCATCCAATATATCTGAGTCATTGATGAGCTTTACATGACGGACACGAGCACCAAGTGCCCTGAATACAAAAGTAGATATCTCTGGTTCCATTTCGGTCATCAACACCAATTTCCCTTCCAAAATCAAGTTATTTTGTAGCTGATGCACCAACGTTAAGCCACTCTCCCAATTTCTGATAAATCGTGATATATCTGCACTCACCATAACATCATGGAGATGCTTAGATTTACCACTGGGGAGTAGATAGCTTCTTAGATTGGTCAACAGAGTCGACTGCGCAGCGCAATGTTGAAGATACTCGTAGCTTAACACAGGCCATCCAAGTGATAGTGACTCGAGGAACTTTGGGTATCTATTAGTCCTTGAGGTTATTAATGCTGCAAACGTCTTAGAGCCAAATGGATCATTTCTAGCAACTAATCGTTGCTCCTCTTCAGAGTATTCGATCAGCGAAGCAAACCCGTCTTGAGCCAATGAGCCACCATTCTCCAGTATCAACTTTTCCAACATAGCCTTCAGTGAGTCGTCAAGGTTGGTTAGGGCGAAGATACAGCCATCGAATAGCTCAGACTTGACCGTTGTCTGCTCGGGAACTGTAAGCGATACCTCTTGATCCAATATGCTATGTTGTCTGGTGGCACGACGTCTTTGTAGTTCCTGTTCAGAGCCGACTCTATCCATTTTTGACCATTCCTCAACAGACATCTTGATGTCCTGTATAGCAAATCTCCATTCCTGTGGAGTCTTCTTATTCTTGTAGGTATTCTTGTTCTTCATTCTCTTCTTCCTGACTTGTTCTACAACAACAGTATCGTATCCTCTCATGCACCTGATAACATCATCTGATGCTGAGACTCGTTGCAGTGCCATAACAGAGTAGAGATTGTCGTCGTACTGTATGGTGTCTCCAATTCTAATGTCCAAAGGTACGACACCACTAACATATTGAACCCTATCGTTGAACTTGACCTTAGTACCATAAGAGTCCTCGCCCACGATGAGCCCAGGGTAGTAAAAGGTCTCGTACAGAGACCAAACACTCTTATGTGAGACTATATCAGACTCCTTCAGGAACAACTGTGGTTCTTGCTCGAGTGTGCTTTGAGGTACGTTCCTCAACTCCATTGTGATGTCCTCATCATTGGTTTCACTCCTTGTTGTGAGGGCAGATAGTTCAGAGCTTGAGATCTGGTCATCCTTGAGCCTTTTTGGCTCCTGTGATGATACACTGACAAAAGCTCTTTTCCTGCCTTTTCTTCCTCTTTTGATAACTTCATCATCATCATCATCTTCGTGCTGTTGCAAAACAGTTGGGTCTTCGCCTTCCACAGTAGCGTTGACTTTGCTTTCGTCGTCTATATCGCTGAACTCCTGTGTTATGTTCAACACCATATCAGGATTTTGACTCTTCCTCACAGTAGATGATCCCATTGCTTTGATTGCTGGTACTTGCCTCGAAGGTGTCTCAATCATCGAGAACTCATCTCCTTTTTGACTCGCACTGTTTCCCTGTGGGAATGAATTGGTCCTTATACTTAACCCCCTTTGCGAGTGCCTCTGTGGAGGTGAGCTCTTTGTCAAATGGTGGATCTGATCACGAGCTCTAACCACTTGTAAGCTGTCCTCAGCTTGAAAGCTTCCCAGGTGACCTGAAGACTTGTTTCCCTTTGTAGAATCGCTGAAAGTTCCATCTTCATCTTCCGAAACCACTGGTGAAGACATCCTATTATTGTCGTCCTTGTTATTATTAGGGGTTGGAGAGGCATTCTCTTCGTTGTCTCTGATATCGTCAGTGCTATTGTTAAAGGTAGAATTCATAGCAGAACCCTCGTCATCCTCTGGTGCGGTCCCTGGTATCTGTAAAGCAGCTTGTGAAACATTACTCAAGTTGGTCAAATTGGCCTCACAATCGGCAACTGTATCACCTTCTGCAATGGAAGCATCCACATCAACCAGGGACTCATTCTGATTGGACAAACAGTCCTGTGTATCGTCATACGCCAAAGACGGTACATCAGCTGGCTGAGTGTCAATATCTAGCTCTGGCTCAGCTTGTTTCCGTCGAAGTCTGTCAAACACCTTGTGGGCAATGTCGCCAGGTGTATTTATCACTCTCTTAGATATGGTGTCTGGTGTCACTGACGTTGTAGAGTTATCATTATCGTCGTACAAGAACTTCGAGTGTATTGGCGTCTCCTTCAATGGCTTTATCTTATCAGTCGCTGGTGTGTCTTCAAACGGATCAGCGATCCGATTCAGCCAGGGACTCTCCGCATTGGGCAGCTTCAGCTGCTTAAATATAGCTGAGGAGCTTGTTCCCTCGTCACTCGGCTTCGAATCGGAACTCGAAGACTGCTTAATATCATCGTCATCAACAGCCTCAACTGTCTGCTCCAGAGCCAACAGCTGCTGTGTATCAACCCGTCCACCCTCCAAGGACGAATCCACCAGCAGATTCTCCTCCTGCGATCCCAGCACCCTCAGCCTCCTCATCTGGGAGTCCTGAGAGTCTTTGATCTTAGCACTCGACAGAATCGGCAAGGACGTCCCATCAAACACATTGCTCGTTGCTACTGCTTCGATGACTTGTGTCTAGTAGCTCTGTTAGTTGATCTCCCTCACTTCTCTCAGACAAAATCGTAAAAAACTCACATCCTTGAGCCCAGATGAGTCCATCGTGATGTTCAGTACCAACGATCGGATCACTCAGACGAATACCAGCTGAATACCACCGTCAACATTAGCTGAAGTGCTGTTTACATTTCGAGCCTCCGGGCCATTTTCCACTTATGTCTTTGTTGCCCGAACCGGTTGTTGGTGTCCGGGTGTTATGGCGTTGTGGTGTCCGGGTGCATCATAGCTGTGCAGTGCTATCATCGGCACTATCAACCTAACAAAAGCTGTTAGCATTCTCAGTGGTCTGTACAGGAATACCAGTTAACAATCTCAATAGCTGCCATATTCTCTACTCTGCTAGCTCAATAGTTCATTAGTTCATACATTGGAAGCAAGTAAATACACAACAGCCTTCAGTAGAAGAGCTGATGACTGCTGGGCTCAAAACGCACAGTATAATCTCCAATGGAAAGCTCGCACAGGTCAACCAACAACGACGCCAGCAGACCCGGGTGTTGAGTTTGGAGCTGGTTCACAGGACGAGATCCTTTTAAACTTGGAACTGTGGCGGAGGCGACTCTCCAAGTTGTTCAAATCGGCCATATATGCCTCCACGAGCTTCTTCTTACGCTCAATCTCTCTCAAGGTCTCTTCGTCAATGACGGTACTACCGTCACCTCCCACTTCCAAACTGTGAAAAAGATTCAACAAAGAAGGCTCACTGTTGAGTAAATTAACAGCTGGTACAGCAGCTGTGTTGCTATGCGTTGTTGTTGGTCCCACGGAGGCTACGACCCTGGAATTGATACTGTTCATTCCTTCAGTAGTGGCCAACTTAGACCTTCTATAGTTCTCGTATAGTAGAGTATGTGTGGTGTCTTTCAACTCTTGTAGATGCGAACCAAACAACACGTTTCTCAAACTGGTGAAGTCGCTGTGATCTGGGTCTTCAACTTTCAAGGTACCCCATGGGTATCTTCTCACATGGCAAATGGACCCTTCAATCACCTCTGTATCGTAGGAGCCGCAAATTGCAAACGGTAAGTTCTGTCTCAAGGCATCAATCTCAGTTATGGTCTCTGGGTCATCAGAATCTATCGAGAAGTCGTAAACAGGGATCCCATTCAGCTCTATGTCCTTCGAGATCAACTGTTTGTTCAACGTGAGCTCTTCCTGTGTTAGGGAGTCCAGCTTGGATAAGACCGGTATGACATTGACCCTCGTACTAAACTCCTTCATGGCAACAACATCCAATTCACGTAGCCCTCGAGAAGTTGGCCGGATAAAGTACAACAGCGCATGAGGTCTGCCATCTTTGAACTTAGCATCACGGTCGATGCGACACTCCTCGTTCAACATCAGATCAAACTGCAGCTCGAGGTAATTGACAATAACCGCAACACATGAAGTGTTATCAATGTTATCTCCAAAGCCTGGAGCCATGATCACGTCCAAGCTTATCGGCGTCGAATCCTTCTCAGCAATGTTCACATGTATATCCAAAATATCAATACCTGGGTTCAAATGCGAGTTCTCAGGCGAAACCGTCACAGTGTCCTTCCTGATCACGTTCTGATTGCACAAAGTGTTGATGAACGAAGCCTTCCCCGTGCCCTCCTGGCCACACACCAAAAGAGTAAAATCAATGCCCTTCTTGATATTTTTACGACGACGAATCTCTTCCGGTGATTGATATTGATTCTTCTTCCACATTGTCCAAAGCACCCCAAGAAGCTCTTGATGTAGAAATCATGAAATAAACCATCATCATCAACAAATAGCACAAAATGACAACAAATTCTTTTGTGATATCAACACCAAAACCATCAAGACGAGATAACACAAACACAGCGTCCAATTGTGCACCAACGCTGTAAAACCTGCCTGTGGTGAATGTGCAAACAAAACAGACTTCATTCGTTATGTAAATGATATTATACACTTAATTCTATGCTGTTGATTGTTCTTTTATGCTTGTTTTAGTCTGACTCCAAGTCACTCAACTCGTTGCTTGATTGAAGATCAATGTGTTCTATGATGCGTCTCAGCTTTCTCGCGTGATCACCTTCATCTTGGCCCTTACGCTTTCTCTGAGCTCCCTCTGGATCAACCTCTTCAGTGTTTGAGCTTGTAGCTGTGCCGTTATTCGGCACAGTTGATGCTGTGGTATGGTTGGAATCGATGGTTGAAGATTTTACGGGCAAGCTTTCACGTTCTTCAAGTTTGGAACCCAGTGTTCTCCCTTGAGAAAGAGTGCTTTTCTTTAATCCTTCAACAGTCTGTTGGCCTTGCACAGCATTTTTATCTTCTTGAGCTTTTTCAGCTCCCACAGTCACAGGCTTCTTCATGGAAGGTTTTCTTCTCTTCTCATCATCAAAAGAGGCAGCAGACCGTCTACCAGCCATTCCCAGATGCTTTTGAATGCTGCTCACCGACGCTGGCCATGACTCAGCTGGAGATTGTTTGATATGAGTGTCCTTAGGTGAATCTGCCTCTGTTCTCTGCTTCTTCTTCTCTTCTGAGAGTGTAGATATTGATCCCTTGGAAACCTCAATCACACTCACTCTGGTTTTATTTGGCATCAAATGAGCGTTCTTCGTAATACTCGGCCCTGAGTTTACAGACTTCATCAACGGCGATCTCGGTAACGGTGGTAACTCTTTCTTCGTATGGTTTGCCTCTTTTTTCATCATTAATGAATGCAGTATTGAAGTCTTAGGCTCTAAAGGTCTGGTTTCGGTATCTGCTATACTCTCCGATGGCTTCTTCCCTGGTAAAACTTCAGGCACTAACTGAGGTTTGTTGGAAATGGCAATGGCTAGATCACTTTCGGATGATTTAAACTGCTTTGGAGACGGTTTTTTCCCATCATTGTTCTGCAACTCAACAGCACAAGGCTTGCGATTCATATTATTGCCAGTGCTTGGAATTAGTGGTGTTGTAGTAGTTGTATCAACATGCGAATCAGTTAAACAGACCTTGCTGTTGGCATTAGACCCTCTTGTCTGTTCACTGAGAGGCTGTGTCTCAGTCAATGTATGCTCCTCAACTGCTCTCCCTCTTTCAACCATGACTTGTGGCTGAGCTCCCATCAAAGTTGACTCCTCTAATGACATATTCACTGTTGTATCAGCAGCTTCGTGGCCTGACTCCTTTTTATCCCCTTCCAGTGGTTTGATCACTGGCAGTGTGTGTTCTTCCGAGCTGAACCACCCAATATTAGCCTGTTTAGCTGTATATACTGCAGTTCTCTTTCTTTCGTGTATTGGGCTTGTCAGTGTGGGTAAGTTCTTTAGCTCTGCATCACTTGAGACAGTGGTGGTGGTGCTGCTGGTGATCATATCAGCAGAATTGCCGGCTTCACCAACAAATTCTTCACAGCATGCAGTTCTGATATCATCCTGTACAATGTTGCCAAACCCACAGAAGTCAATCTTTCTGGACTCAGCATTCTGCTCCTCTGAAATGTACTTGTACATTTCCATCAACAGTGGGACGTTTACTTTGAACCCTCGGGTCGCAAAGAAGTTCTTTGGCCACTTGAGCTTGTTATCGATTGCAGATGCAATCATCATAGCCACCATAACATCCTCTGTTCTGTACAAAAGACACACCTGAGTGTGCACAGTCATATTCATCAATGAAAGTGCCTTGTTCGGCAAGCACACAGTTGATAGCGAGTCCCAGAATGCCACAACGTCATGGTCTGAGGAGCTCATCTCAAACTTGTTTTGAGGGTTCTTTTCCATGATCCTCCTCATCTGTACGTGCGGGTTGTAAACGTTGAAATCGCAGCATAGAGTGTCCATCACTATGAGCTCGCCTTTCAGTATTCCATCCTTCCATTCCCAAAACTCCTTGCTATACGTGTTCAGGCTCTTCTTGAACTGCAGCTGGGCACCTCTCAATGCGATCTCCGTGCCCGTCTTGTGTAGTTCCAGCACACGCGATGCCAGAAACACCGCAACGGCACATGTGTACAACTGATGATTCCCTGAAGTGATGGGCACACGCTGGTAATACCGTTGCAAGTATATCGTCGCCAGGAACAGCTCCGCACCTCGACATATCTTCAGATGCCTCATGAACGAGTACATCTTCTCCATCCTCGCCATCTCCTCCCTCCTCGTCATGCCGCTTCTCACGCTAGCAGAGGCCATGATCTGCTCCCTCGTGAAGATCCAGTCGTTCTGAGGAATCGCGATATGGTCAGGCCAGTACTCCGACTCGTCTCTGTATGTGCCACCCATCTCTTTCACCGTCAACAGCGTCGTGGCTCTGTGTTGTTGTCGCTTTGTAGCTGTGAACTCCGATTCTTCCCGGTGAACTTTGCTGAGAGCTTTAATACCCGTTGTGCTGGCGATGGAGTTTTTTCATCTCTGCGCGGTGATTATGTAATCAAGATTGAGATGTGCTTATGTAAGCACATCATTGTTAGGGGACGCACCATAATAGCGAGCCCTGGATGGTGTGTAAATGCACCATAAACACCATTTTCAGTGGTTAGTTTACGCATCAGCTTGATCAGTTTGTGAGATTTGTGCAAGTTTTGTTCGCAGACCCGTCAGCTGGTGTTTCCAAAGCCAGCTTTGGTTCTATGCTGTGCAGCATTTAACTCGTTGAGACTCTTCTATGACGACGTTCCACTTGGGAAAGACGTATAGCCTACACGTTACAGAGACCGGTACTGCCTGGTACTGTACATATATACAGCTCCCAGTCTTCTTACAATTGTCCTCTCGAGGCTGTACTGAATTCATTCAGCGACAGCTTTCTCGGGTGTGTGACGTCTGGATTTGGAGGATCGCACCACTGGCTTATAGAGTTGGTATCCAACATGATCTTTTTGGTTAGGTTTCATAACATGTGTTGGAAGCTGCCGGCTACATGTTACAGCTTACTGTAAAGCTAGGACAGCTTCTGCAGTCTTTGAGGTAATGATGATATCATCATCAGTATATCTTTGGAAGGTTGAAGTCGCTTAGGTAGATGCATGTAGAAATAGGTTTATAGGACCCATTGTGGTTTCTACATGGTATATGTAGGCACTGGACTCAGGTCCCACACTTGCACCCCCCCCCCCCGCTCATTTTACAAGAAGGAACTGGAAATATTATTCAAGAGGTTCAATTAGGCGGACATCTGATGCACAGTTGGACAGTCAAGATGCCCATGAGGGTGCACGTTTCACCCAGACAGTCAAAAATGGCATGTTTTACAACAATCTAACTAAGTTGGAACATCATCAACACAGCAACGCGCTGATTCATGGTTTACTGATGTAAACAATTCTTCTCTCAAGATCAATTCAATGAGCTATTTTGTTATATGTCTTTTGACCACATACATGTTTTGTCACTCATTCATTTTGAGATTTACAGTTGATGATTTATACCTGTGAATCTTGGGTTTCTCCCAATAATAAATAACAGGCGACCACGTAACATCAACAAGCTTGGACCGACAGTTCGTATTGAAGAGACAAGCTACACAAGCTGGTGGAATTCACTGAGTCATATCTGAGCATGTTTCAATTGAAGTCTAGATCTCTTGTGATACAGGTATAGCCACTCCTGTATTCTTCGACGCCTAATCAACTCAATCTTGCGGGATGCAGACAGAAGAACATGTCGATCTGAGGAGAAGCCTTACCTCGTGTAAATGATTAACATTTAGTCTGGACTACGTGTCACATACTCGTGAGGATTCGACCTGTATGCAGCTCTACCAACTCTCTAAGGCTTCTATATCACGAGATGTCTCACAGCTATCTCACACATTTCAAAAGATACACCCCCATGGCCTCGACCATCCAATGAAGTAGAGTCAAGATTACAGTGTGTATATGCACCATGTAAATAAGAGACACCAGTTCGACTCTCAAGCCCCCCTCTTTCCAATGGGTTCAGTTTATAATAAATCGTACGAGGAACACCTCATAGTAGACGTCGGCTTAGGGAGCCATACGCCTATCCTCTATTGGTCCACCAAACAACACTGGGATGGGAATAACGTAAACATTCATAACAGCAAGCTGAAGCAGTGTTGATAAATCAAATCTCAAGTGATGTCCGTTGAGCTCAGATCAAACACACTATCCTGGGAGTGTAAACTGTAATCTCACCATAGACCGGCCATTCGCAATTGCATCGACTGTAAAATATCCCTCATGCACAATAGTGTTGGGTACATGGTACACAATGCATCACGATGCTTTTGTATAACAGTTCGCTGGTGATCAAGCGTATCTAGCACATCATTAATCGTCAACCTTGTCCCTCTAAAGTAAGGTCCGTGCTGATACGCACAACTGTGCGTCAGTTTGCACTTGGTTAATTTGACTCAAGCTCTCTAGCATAAACTATGCGAGAAGCGAAAACTGTGCATTTGAGATTGAGTTCGTTACGCACTCCCGTAGATCTT